GCTGGGGCCAGAGCCACTGGGTTTGTAATACATTGCAGAAGCTTCACTCCTAGTTATTAGCCTGAGAAACAGAAACATGCATATGTACATAAATATCCAGAGTCATTTTACTCGTTAGTAGTTAAACTGAAAACAGCTCAAATATTTCACTCATGAACAGCCAACAGGCTGTATTACAGGCACCTATTGTGTTATCGTTGTGATGTGCTGTCGAATCGCCTGGACTCCAAGCAACGCTGTATACGACGGCCCTGCACCCTGCTCTATCCTGAGTCAGTCTGTCTCTGCCACCCCCACACTCATAACCCGGTCACCGTGTCAAGCCATCTCATCCAGGGTCTCCCTCCACTTTTCTGAGCATGACGTCCTTCTCCATGGCCCGCCCCTTGTAACAACACGTCCATGGCCTGGCCCTTTATAATCATAGCCAGCGCATTGAGATGTCTCATCTTCCCTCTTCCCAGCACTCTAGGAAGTGCTCCAAGAAAGACTTGTTTGTTCTATTCTGTATGCTTCTCCAGCACCACAGAGCGAAGGCTCTGACTGCTCTTCTGTCATCCTCAGTCACTATCCAACTTCCAGACGCATAACAAGCTGACCATGGCTTTGGTCAGGAGCACTGTAGCCTTTAAACTGCACCATGAGAGATGAGAATTCTGGAACACTGAATGGTGCTCCTGCAGAACCCGTGTACAGAGGCAGGTGTTTAAGCAGCATGTGAATCTTCTGTATGATAGAAAAGCAAGGAAGGTTACAGCCTTTCTTCATTCCTATTTAATCTACATGCCAAACAAGTAACCTGAGAAGCTGGCCTGTACGAGAAAGGATGTGGCATCAGATTGGAGGCAGTCCTCAACAACGTGCATTATGGAGATGACAGCCTTGCTGCCGAGGGGAAGAGGACTCTGAGCACTGGCTACGCGTCCAGAAAACCAACCCCCTCCACACTGGACCCTACAAAGACGGCAAACGGAGAGGAGATTCAAGACGGGATTTCCTTGGACTGACTCACGGTCAACACCCACAGAAGAGCAGTCGAGAAATTAGACATCTGGAAAAATCTCCTGCAAAGACCTCTGTGACATGTTAAAAAGTCCTTTTAAGGACGAGGGTGCACTTGACGCAGACCATGGTTTTTAAAACTGCCTCCTACGCAAGAAAAAGCTACACAGTGAATAAGGACGACGGAAGGAGCACTACTGCCTCGCTCTGCGTGGTGGCAAGAGCACTGTCCACACCGTGGACTGCTGGAGAACAAGACCACTCTGGGAGCAACACAGCCTTCTGGGAAGCGAGGATGGATGTGGAGACTGGTCCCAGGTACCTTGGCCTGATACCAGGATGGACAAGTCTGTGGGGCGGACATCGTGCTTGGTAGATGGTCAGCCTGTAAGAGGAAGACTCCCACTGTGGGCGCAGCACAGCGGGTTGTGGGCACAGGGCGGGACAAGGTCTCCTGAGATACGGAGCCCGAGTCAGCTGGGATTTTGACAGCCCCCTACAAGAAGGCGACAGTACAGTAAGTTAATGTGAAATCTCTTGGTGCTAAATGAACCTTGTGCTTTCTAACTGCAGTTACCTAAAGGTCCTCTCAGTCTGTCCACAGCCCTCCCCACCACGAGCTGGCGTGTTGTCACTGGCCAGGACCTCACCTCTGGTGGCCACACTCTGCCTTGCTGTCCAGCTGGGTGCCCAGCACACGTGCTCCCAGTGTACTCCTCCACTCTCCATCGGGAAAGCACTTCCTTTTCTCCTCTGGTTGATGGGGTGGCAGGTTGAGACTTACCTGCAGGTCTTCTGACCAGACGCAGTGGAACTGATCCTCAAGTCAGGCCAGGTCATAGGGCGGCTGTGCCAGGCAAGCTCACCCCTCCCTCTCACTGGCACAGAGCGGAGCTGAGGCCTACCAACAGTTCACCTTCCTGTGGAGTTTCAGAGGCTGTAACTGCATGAGGGGAGATCGCTTTCTCCAGTGCAACTGCTGATGGATTAGAACTGGTCACTGCCAGGTTACGAGCGCAAGCTCCTAAAGCCTACTCCACCAGAGCTCCCGAGGCAAGGGTGCTTAACTGGGAAAGGGGATGGAGACGTGTCCTCCAGGGACACGGCGTCGTGTGGAGAGGTTTGGCTGTCACAACTGGAGGTGGGGGTACTGCTAACGCCCTTTAAGGCACAGAAGGGTCCCCAATGCAGTGCCTTACAATTTGATGCTGGACAAAGCAGTCATTTATGCCACACTCATCTTGTTGAAGGACTCCAGTGACTGTGTAACGTGCTGAGCTGCTGACAGGCCAGCGGTTCCACAAGACACATCACAGTGAAGCCTGGCAGTCTCTGTGTAAAGGTGCAGGTGCCTGGAGTCACCATTATAAAGATGAGGAAACTGAGGCACAGTGGCCCATCAGAGGACGAGAAGGTGACATTTGTTTGCGATTCCCCCAGAACTGCCTTGTCGGAAGACTTCAGGTTTCACCCTGCATGAGGGTGCACTTTCCTCAGGAACGCTCAGCTCAGCACATTCCTGACCCTGCCCGAGGACCCCTGCTCACGCTCTCGGCCCAGGAGATGCTAGCACAGGCAGGCTCACAGACAGCAGGTGGATTCTGACCACTGCGATACGGTGAGTCCCCTGGACTTTCCGGGTCCCCAGCAGGTGTAATGTTAACAGGACACCCTGGCCTCAGGTGTGTAACAGCGTGCGAACAGTCTGCAATACGGTGGGAACAACCCCCACACGACAGACAGGTAGTGAGCACGCTGCTGGAGCAATGTCCCCGATGTCACAGGGCTGCCAGGGACCATCATGTGTGACAAGCTCCCAAACACGAGGGCTGCCGGCAGAGCACAAGCCCCTTCCTCCTCAGCGGTGCCCTCTCGTAGCCAAGATGGTCCTTACAATTCCAGGACAGCACAACAAGGTGCCAGCAAGCTCCCTGCCTGTTTCTGAGGGTGACAGGGGAGCCCTGGTAGCACAGGCCATGAAGCACTGGGCTGCCTGCTGAAAAGGCTAGTGGTTTGAATCCAACGGTTGAAGCCGCTGCGTGGGAGAAAAGGCAGTCGGCTCCGTCAGTGTCACAGCATTGGGAAGATCAGTCGGGGGCGTGTACACTGACGGAGGGAGGGGCGGGAGGGCTGGCACCCGCGACAACACGGCGTGCGTCAGGTCGCTGCCAAGACCCTGTAAAGAGCTAAAAGCCTAGGTGGTCCTATGAGGACTGCAGTGCGTCTGCTCCAAGCCTTGGTTGGTTTTTTTTTTTTTTTTTTAATTTTTTATTATTTTGTGTGCGTGTGCCGTCAAATCAGATCTGACTGGTACAGGAGGATATTGCGCCTCCTTCTCCGGCAGAGCATCTGGTGGATTCGAACCGTGTTCCTCTGGGATTGCAGTGCAGCGTCTTGCCACTACGCCACCAGAGCTCCCTTAGCCCTGGGTTTTAGAACTGCCTCCTCTGCGTTAGAAAGCTACGCAATTATCTATTATCTAACCAACAGATACGCTGGGGGACACAAAAGGGTTTGACTGTACATTGCAATGGATTACATCAATCAACTGTAATTAATGTCAAAAATAAAAAGTCTATGAATGATTGAATGAAAACCAATGATTTGTCAACTTTCACTAGAAAAGAATAAACCTGGAAACAAAGAAAACCCACTGAAGATGGTGAGAGCTCCGTGGCACAGCTGCGCCGTCCTGTGAGGATGACTGGGGGCCGTGGGTTTCCAGACTGACCGACCGACACCGACCAGCTTTCCGTGGGCAAGCCTGACCTCACCCGGCCGGGAGACCAACTCTCTCTCACTGTCCTGGAGTCGGACCTGCCACAGTGACCCCACGGCAGGGGGTGTGCAAAGGCTCTACGTGACCGGGGAGGACACTGCCCTTCTCTCTGAGTGGACTCGAACCCCGTCTTTGGGCTGACAGTGCAGCTCCCTGTCCGCCCCCCCCCCAGTGCTCCCCACCGAGGAGACAAGGGGCTGCTCACACACGGGTCCAGCGTTCCTCCTGCCGCCTGGTGTGCAGACGAGGCCTTAGAGAGACACGGGGACAAACTGGTAACACCTTTTTAATAGGTCAAAGTAACTGTACAGTCATTACATTCTTCCTGAGAATAATTTATATCCCCCAGCACAGTAAAGGGAGGGCAGAGTTTTCCAAATGATTTAACAGAACGGACGGGACAACCACGCTGCGAAGGCCAGCCCGCCGCCCGCCTTCCCAGATGAGCCCGCGCACGGCGGCTCTCCTGAGCGGTGGCCAGTCCGCATGGCTTTAATATCTATAAATTACAGGCCAACAGGAGCCGGGGGGGTGGGGGTGGCAATGAGTCCGGCGGTGGCCTGGTGCACGGCTCCTCTGAGACAGAACTTCACGACAAAGGCGCCCGTGACTCTGGGGTAGCCGGTGCGAGCTGTGCTGGAGGGGGGCCCACACTGCACCCCGAGAAAGGCAGCGAGGCGCAGGGCGTAGTGCTTTTTTCTGAAATGACTCATGTCTTCAAAATATAGCTTTTCTATTCTTTCTTTGTAAAGTGGTATTAGCATATTGCAACTGAAGGGTGTTCTAACAAAAACCAATATAAAACCAATTCCAGTCGGTAATATTCAATGTCGGCAAAAGAATTCTCAGCCCCGTGGGTTTCCCGGAATTCTTCCTCTCCCGGTCTGTGGCTTTGGCAGTTCAGGGCCACGTGGGCCTGGCCCTTTCCTGTGGGACACAGCCCTGGCAACACGCAGTTTGCCCCAGCTGGAGAAGCATCCCATGGGTGGTTTTAAAACGTCCTCAGAAAATTGCCACATTCTGTATCCCCAACTTTTCTGAACATCACGATTAAAACAAAACAGAACAAGGAAACCAACCCAAATCAAATCTGGCTGACCTCACGCGGAGAAGCCGCCGACCCGCTGAGTGGGGAGTGTGCGGGCGGTGGGCCCGGCCAGCACCTCCTGCTGGTGGAAGGTCGGTGGTGTCCAGGGCTCCCGGGGGCCTGCTCCCCGGCTCAGTGCGGCCTTGTCTGAGCCAGCATCTTCAGTCTGGCCTGGTCGATGACGTCCAGCAGGTTTTTGGCGTCCACGGCCAGTGCGTGTGCGGCTGTCAGCATCTGCTTCTTGTACTCCTGCTGCAGGCTGGTCATGACGTACTGCTGTGCCAGCTTCATCTTGTTGATGAGACCCCCCAGGTCGGAGTTAAGCAGCTTCTGGGCCATCTCGATCTGCAAGGACAGACACGGGTCAGGAGGGCGCGACCTCCGGCACCCTCGAGGGGCCCTAGAGGGCGCGTCTTGCCCATCAAAGCCTTTCCGCAGGCAGCAGGACACACGCCTTCTGCCCTCTAAGAATTCAGTCCGTGGTGCGTATGGGTGTGGACATTCACACAAGCACACACGCAGGCACGCCTGGCCACCTTCTGGTTCTGCCACAGGTGCTGTATTGATCTACACTTTACTCCCAGGGACTCTGGAATCTCAGCGTCCACAGACCTAATGGGGTCACAAAGACCATGCCCCTTACCGAGGGGACAACAGAGCCGTAGTGTGGTCTGCTGAGGGTCACAAAGGGAGTCACCACCAGGTCAGACCTGGGCCTGGACTTTAAGGTGAGGCTGTGCACACCAAACCACTCAAACCCCAAGGTCATCACGGTGACAGGTCACAGACACCCTGTTTGCCTTGATGTGAGCCTGACCCGCCCAGCCTGGTCAGGAGCACAGTGATGGGCACGGGCTTGTTCCAGGGATCAGAACTGCTCAGTCTGGCCACTCGCTGATGACTCGTCCATCTGCTCCTCTACATTACGGGGCACCATGGACACCCACCACTTGGCTGCCCTGCGGTGGCCGGCCTGCTGCCGTGATGCCGGAAGCTTGCTCCCAAATTCCAGCAAGGCCACGTATGGTGGGGAGTTCCAGAGGGGCTTTCAACCAAGGAGCAGGACTGGGCCCCCACTTCTGAAACAACAGCAGAACACCGACCCAGGGATGGGAGAGGAGCCGCGAAGCTGGCCGGCTCTTCAGATCCAACCACGGAAGAGCCGACGTCTCCCGGCAGAGTAGAGCAAGGACGTGGATAGGGGAAGCGTTCACCCAACGAGAGACCTTTATTTGCTGATGTGACAAGACTCAAAATGAGGAGAAACAGCCGCAAATACCCATTAACACGTTGCCACAAATGACGGCAAAATGTGTTTCTAAGCATGGTCATCGATTTAAAAGTGTGGCAACGTGTTAACAACTGGTACGTGAAATGGACGAAGCATGACTCAAGAATATTTGAAGTTCAAAAACATGAAATGGAACTCATGAAGATTGACATGCAGACACAGAGGGACTGGTACAGGCCATTCTGAACCAGACAATGCCAGGAATGAGACACTGAAGAGGGGTGGTGTGGTATTCCACGTGAGGAAGACGTCAAGCTCTGGCCTGAAGAGCGATGCTGTCAGCAACAGGACAGAACGTACAGTGAGGACCCGTTACCATGACAACACCAACCATGACGACCAGAGATGGAGAAACGGAGGCTTTCGACCGGGTTTGCACAAACAAGATTAATACTTGGTGACTGGAAAAAGGCGGCCTAGAACTTAAAAAACAATGGCCTTAGTGACAGAAATGAGACTGGAGAGCACATGACAGAATTTGGTACACTGATTTATTCATTGCAAATACCTTTTTAAAAACATATCGACTGAAAACACGGATTTTGACTGGTGTAATATGCAAGAATCACATTAACTCCATGTTCAAAGAGACAGGGGAGAAGTTCAACATTAGCACTCAGCATACAGCTGGGCGACCGTGAACTCACCAACTCGTATACACGTTCAAACTGATGCTGATGAAAATGAAACCAGAGCTAAGATCCAACCCGGGCTTATCCCAGTTTAATTTTGTAACTATTTAAAGAATAAACTTGATGCACTGACTTAACAATCAAAGATCAGCAGCTGGTTTGACATCAAGAAGAGCATGAAGAAAGTAAAAGGTCATTAAAAAGACAAGAAAAAAGGAAAGACTAAACAGATGTCAGAAAAGACTCTGAAATTTGTCCGAGAATGTAGAGAAGCTAAAGCAAAAGAAAGATGATGAAGAGCATTGCGTGTAAGGTCTGAGAAGGCAAAATGTCAGAACAAAATGTGCAGACCAGAGTCAGAAAACCAAAGGGAAGGGTGTGCCAAGCGTTTCTCAAGCTGAAGGAGATGAAGAAATTCAAGCCTCCAATTTTCTGTGGGAAAAATCTTGAATGACATAGCACAAAAGAAGATAAAAAGAATATACAAAATCACTGTACCAAAAAGAACTGGGTGACACTGAAACATTTCAGAAAGTCACATATGATCAGGAAACAGCAATACTGAAGGACAAAGTCCACGCTGCACTGAAGGCACTGGTCCCAGGAGCTGACAGATACCACTCGAGCTGTTTCAGCAAACAGATGCAGCCCTGGACATGCTCACTAGATCTCAACAAATACCGAAGACAGACACTTGACCAGTGGGATGGAAGGCTTCCTGTCTATTCCTAGTCCTCAGTAGACTGTGGAAACTTTCTAACAGTATTATATCATAAAAGTAAAGTATTCCTGACAATTATTAAACCTTGACAGGGAAACCCAAGTTGGGTTTAGAAGAGGCCATAGAAATAAGGGCCATCACGTTGATAGTAGATGGATCTTGGCTGAAAGTAGAGAATTCCAGAAAGATGTTTACCTATATTTTATTGGCTATGCAAAAGCAGTTGAATGTGGGGTTGTTGTTGTTGTTACGTGCCATCGAGTCGTTTCCGACTCATAGCGACCCTATGCACAACAGCTCTAAACCCTGCTCTATCCTGCACCAACCGCACTGCCTCTGACACACCCATCCCGATTACCCCAGTCACCGAATCAATCCATCTCAAATGTGGGGAGCATAATAAATTACGGGTAATATTAAAAAGAACAGAAATCTCAGAACACTTAATTGTACTCAAGTAAAACCTTTACATACATCAACAAGTGGTTGTACAAACAGAACAAGGGAATATCACACGGTCTAAAACCAGGAAAGGTGTGTCAGGGCTGCATCTTTTCTCCATACCTATTCAGTCTGTATGCTAAGCAAATGCAGGAATATTTGAAGAAGAAGGGGTCATCAGGCTAGAAGGCAGGCTCATCACCAATCAACTTGTGTTCTGCGGATGACATGACCTCGCTTGCACAAAGTGAAGATAATGTAGAACACTGAAGAAGACCCAGGACTAGGGCTCTCAATGGAAGTTCCATCTCATTATCAAGAGAACAAAATTTTCACCACTGGACCAATAAGACACCATGACAGATGGAAGAAAGATCGAAGCTCTCAATACTTTTATGTGAATCCACGACCAAAAGCAGTTAAAGCAGATAGATTCACTACTCTTCACTGTGCGACTAGACAGAGACTGGGATGCAGCTGGGCTAACTGGGTGGCACTGGCCAAAGTGGTTGTCACGGATTTCTCCAAAGTGTAGAGAGCAAGAACGTCGGTTTAAAGACTTGATCCAAACTATGGTATTTTCAATTGCTTCGTACGTATTGAAGGCTGGGCAATAAAGAGGACTGAGAAATAACTGATGCCTTTGAGTTGCTTGCTCCGCACGAGAGGGACAGACAGTCTCCTCCCTCGGGACCTAGGGCCTCTGAAACCCACAGGAGGGTCAGCCATGAACGGACCGTGATTCGACACTCGTGAAACTTTTGAGCCAAAAGCACAAACATGTCAAGGTTGGTGTCATCACTGCACAAACTGGGCATGTCGCCGGGAGCCACCAGCCCTAACTGGAGAAGAAGAGGGTCAGTGAAAGACGAAGGCTCAAGGGAACGAGAGACAGTGAGCGCAGCAGTGGCCTGAGCGTGGAGGACACGGTGAGGACGGGGCAGGACAGGGCAGAGCTCCCATCTGCTGTTTAGCGGGTCCCCACAGGTTGTAACTGAGACAGCACCTAACTGATTATGTGTGGAAGGGCCCTGGTAGAGCAGTGCCCTGCCATGGACAGGGTGCCCACTGCACTCAACACGGACAGAGCAACCCAAGACAGATTTGGGAGCATGGCCCTATAATGGCCGGGGTCGGGGGAAGGAGCCTCAGGGAGTCTTAGCAGAGGTGCAGAGGGGAGTCCTCCAGAGGGGCCACGGCCACAGCTGTGTGCACTAGAGATGCTGCATGTGGCCCGAGGCCCACACCCGTCAACCATGGAGTGGCTGCTTTAACCAGAGCTGCTGAGGGGCAAGGCCTCTGTTTGCTGACTGAAGGATACTGGACTCCCCACCAGGAGTAACGCTCGGGGTTGGGGGAACCTAGTGTGACACCCCACTCCCCACCAGGAGTAACTCTGCCAGCGCTCAGGGCTGGGGCGAGCTGTAGTGTGACTCGCTCCTGGACTAAATGCAGGCACGTAAGGACACTGTGTGGTCAGTGTTAGTGGGAAGCCTCACATCAAAGCCAGGCCGTGGTGGTCATCAGCACCTTGGCCTGAGGCTGCTGGTTACCTGGAGGCGCCGGGGTGTTTCCACTCCGCCCAGCAGGACCCTCAGGCGGGGAAGGTGGGTACCTACCTCTCGGTGCGTGCTGGCCGGTAGGACAGGAATGGTCTCGTCCACGGTCGCCAGTAACGTCCTCAATGCCAAGCCGACTTCCTAATGAACAAGAATCACACTGTTGGCACGTGCAGGGAGGGGCAGAGACGTGACGAGCGTGTCCAGGATGGACAGAAGTGGTGCCTGTCAAGTGTCCAGGTACAAAGGGGGAAACGGTAGGACGAGAGGTGGTAATACTGATGGGGCTCCTTCTCAGCGCCCCCTGCTCCTTCCCTCCAGCTTGGGCAGGAGGGACTGGCTGGGAGGGGTTTCTACGGCTCGAGGGGGTGGGCCGGGCTCCTTTCCATCTGGAGGGGGTGGGACACTGGCTGAGCGCCTTTCCGTGGCTCTGCGGATGGGGGTGTGGGGCTGTTTCTTTCCCTCTGGCTCTAGTGTGGGTGGGTAGGGTGAGTGATTCTTCCAGCTCAGATGGAGGGCATAGCTGCACTCCTTTATCTCTGGCTCTTAGGGAGATGACCTGCTAGGCACCTTTCCAAAGCTCTGCAGGGGTGACCAGCCGGGCATCCTTTGTTTCAGCCTTTCCCCTGGCTGGGGGGCCGGGAAGAGAGAGATGATCAGGGGGATGACTAGCTGGGAGTCCTTTGTTCCAGCTCTGTGGGAAGGACGACAGGTTAGGGGTCTTTTCTTCTGGGTTTGGGGGTGATCAGCTGCAGGTCGTTTCTTCCGGCTCTGTGGGAACATGGCTGGGCTCTTCTCCCAGTGCTGGGCCCCTTCTCATCTGTCATGACAGAATCTCGTGATCCTGTTGCTCCATTCCCCAGGGAGGGTTTGGGTGACAGCACAGTGCACAGCCACTTGAATAATGGGGTAGGACACAGGGGAGGCCTGCTTCTTTTCTCCTTCTCATCTCTGCTTACAGGGGACTACACTGCCTCCTGGTTCATCTGCTGGCCTGGTGGTGGCGTTCAATGACCCTCCTCTCTTCTAGGGTGCAGAGGAGGACCTGATGCGCTTACTGCACAAGGTCAAGGACTGCAGCCTTCAAGATGAACTGCAGTTCAACATCAAGAAGACAGAGACTCTCACCACTGGGCCAACTGGCCGCGCCATGGTTGATGGAAAGAGAGATGAGATCATTAACAATTTCATCTTGCTTGGATGCAGAATCAACCCTCTAGGCACGAGCAGTCAGGAAATTAAAACGAAATCATAAGATGAATCACATTAGGAAAATCTGCTGTCAGGGACCTCTCTCCAGAGCAACGACGTTAGCACAGAGACCAAGGTGCACTGGATCCAGGCCACGGTCTTCCCAATTACTTCCCAATTACATCAGAGACCTGGACAAAGACTAATGATGACAGAAGAATCGCCTTGTGGTGCTGGAAAACATGCTGTGGGCTGCCACGAGAACAAACAGGCCTTTCCTGGAGAGGGAGAAACTAAGTTGCTCTTTGGATGCAAGGATTCTCAAATACTTTGGGCATGCTGTCGGGAGTGACCGTCCTTGGAGAAGGACATCATTCTTGGAAGAGTAGAGTGACAGTGTGAGAGAGGAAGACCCTCGTGACTGACACAGTGACTGGCATAACGGGAGACAGATGGGCTCAGCACAGGGCAGGATTCAGAGCTATTGTGCACCAGGTCGTTATGAGTTGCAGTTGCCTGATGGCACGTACCATCACCATCAGAGAGCTGAGAGACTTAAGATGCCCCTCCCGCAAGCACAGGGCACCACTGGAGAGCCTCAATCCCTGAGAAAACGGGGCAAAACCATGGCCCTGCCTGCAGTTCTGGGACAGAAAGCGCAGAAACAGGGCTGACTTCAGAGATCAGAGACCTTGTAATTCATGCTTTCCACATCTTCTAACAACACGTAATAGCGAAGATACTATGCTTACAATGTGAAAATGTCACAGTGTGCAGTAAAAAACCGTCGGTGAAAATAGAGCTTCCGTGAGGTGACCAGAGTCCTCCACACACGACACTCCACGTGCCTGCTGCCATTTTTGTCATTCTCTCACCAGACAATGGGTTTGTGAGCCTTCCTCCTGGACAGCCATGACTGAGGGGGACAGGATGGGCAGGGCCACCTGCTGCTGTGACACCTCACGTCATCTGAGGAACAGTAGCTTCTGGCTGACACGGGGGAGGACAGTGGCCCAGAGACTGAACACGAACCCGTGTTGTCAGGTCGGAGGTGCCAGCTGTGGGTGGTGGGACCGGCCGTGGGGCAGGGAAGGTGCTCCAGGGAGAGCCGCGGTGAGGTGCCGCCCCACATCCTCCCTTCCTGAACCAGACCCGGCTCGGGGTGCTCTCGATGTTGGCCCCAAAGCCACAGCTTCAAGCTGCTGCCATGACGCTGATTGTGACCCCGGGTGATGCTGCAGGACAGAGCGCACTGTCCCCGAGGGGTCCAGGCAGTGACCGCCACAGGGGTAGACTGTCCCCGAGGGGTCCAGGCAGTGACCGCCACAGGGGTAGACTGTCCTCAAGGGGTCCAGGAAGTGACCGTCACAGGGGCAGACTGTCACATCTAGTCCCCAGCGCAGCTGATGGGCTTAGAGCTCTGAGAGCCCAGGGACCCTCACTAACAGTTAATAATCCAAAGTGGTTGCTTCCTGCTGATTTTAAAATTCACCCAGCTGAATGTGTGGGTCAAACATATGTCTGTAAATGTATTACTCTTCAATAAAAGACTAATTATAACAGAAAAAGAAAGAGTTCTCCACATAAAAAGGTAAAGTCCAAGCCCAGAGACGGCCATGCCCCTGACCCTGCCCTCACGGGCAGTGAGGCCTGTGGACGGTGGTGACACAGTGGTGCCCTTCAGCCTGACGCAGGAGCCACTGCACTGGCAAACCTTTACCTCTGCAGCAACACCCGTCAGCACGTGCAGTGGCTGTGCTCACACTCAGCTCTTTGTTCTCATCCACTTTGGGTGGATGTGGTCATGCCAAGGACACATGGTCAGGACAGCCACAGTTCTCAGGGTCTGTCCCCGTGGGGCAGCTCAGCCCTGCCCTGACTCACACCCAGGACGCTGGCCCGCTGGCCTCCCCGGGACAGATTACCTTCACCATGGGCACGTACTCCTCAGGCGGGGCCGGCTGGATCTTACTGGACATTTCAATGACCGCCTTCACCAGGCCGGTGACGTTCTCGTACACTCTGTCGTTGGAGCGGTCCAGGTTCGCTGTGGGTGGGGGGCTGATCTCCTGAGGCTGGAGCTGCCAACACAGAGACTGTCACCCTCGCTGCCCACTGGGGTGGTACATGACCACGCTGGCCTTCACGAGTGCTCAAAGCCGCCATCAACACGGCCAATCGGGAGTCACTGTGTCTGACTTTGAGCTCAGTTAAAGCCAAGGAGACAGAATCACAAACTAGCCACGCAAACGCCAGATTGTAAGGAAGTGATTCTGTATTCCCCAAATCGTCCGAGGATTTAGAACCCAGCACCCCGCCCTGTGGGTTTTCAGATTCAGTGCTGATTCTTTCTGTGGCTGCAGAGCGAGTGTCCCCACAGGGTCAAGGCCCTCCGTTCTGCGGAGGGACACTGCTGGCTCATGTACCAGCATCCTGGTGAGGCAGTGGTGGACACGGTGGCTGACCACGGGGGAGTGCCCGCAAGCCAGGTGCAACGAGGTGGCACAGTAAACATGCCCACCTCTGCACAGGGCACTGAGCCGGCAGTCACGCCTGGACCAGAGCATGAAGGCAGGACTTCCTCACGAGGCCCTGCATTTTAGAGGGGTCCAGCCACCAAAAATCCAAACCCACCAGCAGGTTACCCCGACTCCCAGCACCCCTGCAGCACAAGAGTGGAACTGCCCCACGACGCCCGGCCTGAACTCTGACAGGTGTGCATGGCCGCAGCCTTCCCCAGAGTGGACGGCAGGTTAGAACCACCAGCCTCGTGAGGGGCTGAGAGCTGCCAGGGCTCGGAGAGGCCAGGTCGTGAGTTAAGAGTGGACTGCAGAGGCCGCGTGTGCTCATCATGAGAGCATGGCCAGCGCTGATGGGCAGCCAAGTGCCCATCTTAGAATCTGGGCATCAAACAGGAAGGGCAAGGGCAGACCCAGCACCGTGGACAGCTGCTGCTCCGGCATCTATGGCTGTGAGAGGCGGAGGACCAAGCAGAGCGCCCTCCCCCAGCTTGCTGGCCCGTCACATGCTGGGCTGGACAGACACACGGATACGAGGTGCTTACCCGCCATGGCTATGTCGGACGGAAGGTGAGAAAGGTTAGGGAAAGGTGTCAGGGGAAAAAAGAAAAACAGTTATTAATAAGGTGTCAGATGATGACCTGCCACAGTCCATGAGCAGAAAGGAGGGACTGGCCATGGGGCCACCGGCAGTGGGCGTGCTGCTGGGTCACGTGCGGACAGCCAGCGCTGGGTGGCGGGTCTGCATGCACTCCTGGCACTCAGGGACACAAGGGGACACATGCGAAGCTTGAGAGCAGTACCCAGCAAGCAGTGCAAGTGCCAGCAGAACCAGGGGTCAGAGGGGTCGTCCTGGGGCTCTCTGAGGTCAGAGAGGAAATAGCAGGCTGCTCCGCACGCCCTGGCACCCCAGTACCCTGCGACATGTGTCTCCCCACGTATAAGCCTGATGGGCCAAAGTTCTGGGCGTGGGAATAGTTTCCAAGCCCTGAAAACTTCTTCAAGTTCTTTCATTGAAAGCAATGTTACAATCCTGAAGTTTTAGTCATTTACTTTTTCTGCAGCTCAAACTAGGCCGTCCTAGTATAAATAAGGCCAAGTTACCCGGAAAAATGTGGGGTCTCTCCTTGGAGTTGCCTGAACAGCTCTGTTCTGTGGGCTCTGCAAGCTCCCAGTGGCCCAGGCTGTTAGTGCTCCAGAGAAAAGGCCACCCCCCCCATCATGTGCAGGGGACCCCTTCATATGGAGGGGACCCCATATCCTATCTCACAAGAGTCCTAGCTGCCTGACCCTGTCAGTGCTCTGGAGAGATGCCTCATCACGTGCAGGGGACCCCCTACTCTACACCCCGTGTGGGGATTCTAGCCATCCTGCCCATGGCAGGGAGAGAAGGGTCTGCCTGAGGGACTCCAGCACAGAGAATGAGCAGACCACTGACCCTGGAGCTGACCTGAGCCTTCACAGCCTCTGTCCCTTCACTCTCTGGCTGACCCTGTCCAAGAGGGATGTGCAGATGCTTTTGGATGGTCCATGGTAGATTCCAGAAGCAAAGGCCAAGAACACAGACTCCCCCACTGCTGTCTTTCCCTGGCTGCTAACAAGGTGTCCCAAGAAGCCACCACTGTACCTAGACCCTGAGTTGTAACTGCCTGAGTGGATACTTCACAATGGAGTAACACTCAGCCAAGTGTCAACCACCAAAGAAAACGTGCCCTGGCTACGTGTGACGAGCGAGTCACCTCACTTTTGAGGGCTGTGGCTGCATTTCTGTGCCAAGATCAACCCTGTTCTTTACATTAACATTCAGTGACCGCTTCTAAAAAGAACACACAAACAGGGATGTCATGACTGTGACCTTCCCCAGCTTCACTTAGTGTACACGAGCATGTTATCCCCCAGTGCCCGTGTGTCTGCACTCCTCAGTCGGGGTGGTGCCCAGCTACCTGGTACTACGGTACTACCACCATAAAGAAGCAGGGCGGATCTCTAAGAGGGCACGTAGTGGCCTAAGTCAGATTTTTACGACGAAACAAGCCGTCCTCAGTGCTCCTTGGCTCAGGAAGAGGAGAAAGCTCCTCTAACCGAAGTTCTTTCCATTTTCCTTGTTTAAAGATACTACATGGGAAGGTCACTCCTCACCCCTGTGCTCTTCGGTGTAAGCGTGTGGGGAGACCTACACTAGAGAGCAAAGCCCCCCTCTAAGTTCTCCTCACCCCAGCACTGAGCAGGACCTTGGGGGGACCAGAGAACCCCTCCCCACACACACACCAGTGCACCAGACCTTTGGGAGGTAGTGAGGCTTGGCTCCCGGGCACACTATTACATGTGGGACCCTGGCCCTGGTGGAAGACTCCCCAGTTCTCAGAAACCAGTGACAGGCTTCAGGATAGGACGCCCACCCTCAGTCCCTCTTATCCTGGGCTCCTGTGGAGTGAACTTTCAGGACTTGAAACACTGCCCAGGGTAGACAGAGTTCTGATCGGACCCATCCCACAACTGGACCTCAGTGAATGGAAAGCAGAGCCCCCGTTCCTGCCGCCCCAGGCTGGATGCCCACCTTGACGCCCTCGTTGTAGCTGTCCGCAGGGTTGCTGAGGCTGGCGAGGCTGCCCAGGTGGCCAGGAGCTCCAGGGCGTGGAGGCTTCTTTGGTGGAGCTGTGGAGTCTCAAGTGAAGCGGAGGGAGGATGCACGTTAGCACACAGGAAGGCAAGGGCCGGACAAAAGGGCGCTGTGGCACTGCGACAAGGGCTGCTGCTTTGTTTCCTATAGTCCGGTCAGGGTGGATTTGCTGACCCCGAGGGGACAGGTATTCAGAGCCATGAAGGCACCCACAGCCATGGGGTCGCAGCCCTGTCCTCCTGCTGGCTGCCCATCCCTTACTTACCGGGCTTGCCCACGGGCTGATAGATGTGCTGGTTTCCAGCCTGTGGGAGAGGAGAGTGTGGTCAGAGCCCTGCGAGAACCCCACCCCACTCCGTCCAAAGCTGTGACAGACCCGGGCACCTGTCTCCACATGCCAGCGGGGGGGACGAGCCACGTAAGAACGGGCACAGCACTCAGGAATGGCGGGCCCACCCACCACTGTAGAACACAAAGCCCTTGGTACGCCCATTGGTGACCCAGCACTACAGGACTTCCTCATGGCGCGTCCAGGACACCCGCTCAATGCTCACGGGGAGCAGCCAGGGACAGGGTGGAGGGGCCATCGCAGCACTGGCCTGCGGCCTATCACCTGCAGCACGGCCATGACCTCCGACAGCAGGGCAGCTCCCTGACAGGCTGATGGTAGGGAGGGGCACCAACAGTCGGGGGTCAGCAAGAGCCACGACCCTCAGCCCCGACAGGCCCAGGAGCCCACATTAGACCAGCCCCACTTAGGGACGTTGGAAGTCATTTAAAGGCAATGATTAGGCACTTGGCTGCCAAGGTGTGGGGCAGAGCCCACCCGGCAGAGCTCTGTGAGACAAACCCTGGTGGTCCACTCCTGTAGGGGTCTCCCTATGAGGCAGTGCTACCCTGCTTGTGGGGTGATGAGAAGGACCCCACACACCCTACAATCACGAAGGGGCAGACCCGTCTCTGTCTCTGACAGGAGAGTGAGCTTTGGCCCTCTTCTCGTGAAATAATAAACTCGTCAGAGGATCTTTTCTGCTAAGGAGCCTTGGTGGCATCCTGCTAAGTACAAGGGTGGCTGGGACCCGTCAGCCACCCCACAGGAGAAAGGTGTGCAGTCACGTCAGGCCAGAGGACAGAGCCCGTGAGCAGAGGCCTATGTGGGGAAGTGTCCAGGGAGCAGAGTCAGAGACTGCCAGGGAGGCCAGGGCAGGGAGGGCCTGAAGGGGGACAGAAGGCTGAGGACTGGGCTCCCAGACGGGAAACCTGTGCTGGAAGGATGCAGCTGCAGACTAAGAGTACCCACAGACCAAGGGGGAGCACCCGCCAACAACGCAAGTAACCTTCAGGTTAGAGCTCAAGTCAGCAAAGTTCAACTGCTAGCTAACTATTTCTGTACACTGTGAGAAAAGTATGTGAGGGGGTGCAGGACAGAGGCTGGGGCCTCCGGCCTGTCGAGTGCTTGACACAGGCTGGGTGCACGGGCCCATCTCCCATCGTGACACGGAGCGGCCTGGAGCAGCCGTGACCAGTGAAGGGAGGTGTGTGCACAGCAGCTCAGGAAGCAGGTGCTTTGCCGCGAGTGTTCTCAACCCAAAGGGGGAAAGGCGGTGATGACGCAGGAGAGCTCGTCAAAGAACGTCAGGCTTTTCCCTCACGACCTTCGGGAGAAACCACCTCGCTGGGCCAAGGCCTGTGCTAACACTGAAGCTTTTATGACTGCCAAAGCGACAAGCTGTGTGTCGACAGCCAGCACACGCACCTCCTGTAGGGCCCTCTGGGCTGTACCTGCGGACATGAACACCGACACGTAGAGGACGATCCTGTGCCGTGTGGTTGCCAGATGCTGTCGAGGCAGCTCCGAGTCACACTGACCCATCAGAAGAGGGGCACTGCCCGTCCCCCCGCCCCTGCCCGCACGGTGGCTGCTGTCTGAACTCGCTGCCGCAGCCGCCCCTCAAGGCACAGAGATGAAGAGGCCCGAGCGCCCTTGTCTGAAGCCCACCGTCCTGCACACGCTCACCTGGCCCTGGAGTCCGCCGTCCTCCCTGTCGATGCTGCCGCGGGACAGCCTCACGTCCGGCTTCTGGAGGAAGCACACACGAGATGCACAGTTAGTCTGAGATCACGGAATATTCGTCTAGTTTCGGGCACCCAGAGAGTCAGCATGTCGTCCGACAAGCGCCCTCGTCCAGCACAGAGCTCCTCCGCTCACTTTGCACCCCTCTCTGTGGGAGCGAGGCCCTGTGTCTCAGTCCCCTGTGTGGCGGTGCGGTGAAGTTTCTCCTGAGAGCTCTCAGCCCGGGGGACACATGCCTGTGCCTGGCTAGCTGGGTTCTGTGTGCTGGCCCCGAGGCCACCTGAGGGTTAGATCAGGGACCGAGCATCTCTGAAGCTGACATGAGGCTGACGGTGAAGGGAGGAAGTGCATGAGGAACGTTGCGGTCAGGAGGAGAGGTGGTCGCCCGAGACGGCCTGGTCCCACGTGTGTGTAAGCTCAGCGCGCCGTGAGATGGGGTGAGGGTGTCCTGTCCTGCCAGGGGCGGGAGCCGACAGCGTCTCCCACAGGCTCCCGTCACGCACCCAGTCATGCCTACATGTCACAAGACACCTCTTGTGGATGACCTGCCATGGCAGCTCACGTCCGTGGCTGGTCCCTGCCATTGCTGTGTCGTGCTCAGGGCGTGAATGCTTGGCAACTGTGTGGTCAGTGGGAAGTGCCCTGTCCTTGGGACGATGCAGGCTCCTCTCCCGCATGGACACGTGTGATGCCCCTCTGGTGGGTCATAGAGTAGGGCACTCAACCACAGGCACACTCTCGGGAGTGGGGGGGTGAGCCCCACTACGCTGCCCTGAGGCCCTGGGAATGGACAGCGCAGGGGGCTGACGGCACACTAACTTCTGACTCAGAGTGCTTTCTGCTGTTTCAGCCCCTCCACTATGGAACATGCTGGAACGCGGGCTGCGACCCCATAGCACATTCACTGTCTTCTAGGGAAAGAGCTAGCTCTCAAGGCCTGATTTCCTCCCTCAGAACACAAAGGCGGCTGCACAGAGATAGGACGTTCTCATTTTAAAATGAGATCCTGCTCTCAGTCCAGGGCCACATTAGGACACTACTGGCACACAGCAACGTCACCAAGCCAGCTGTAGAGGGACACGGTGGACAGGGCCTTGAAGCAGTGGCCGAGAGGAAGCTAGCTCTCCACACAGCCGGGGCTTCTGATCGCAATGACTGGACTATGCTCTGGAATCTTCTGTCAGGAGAGAGCATCAGGCTCTGAGAGATCCTCCTCAAAGCTGCTCTCCTCACGGCAGGCATGGTGATCAGGGGCAGAAAGACAATCAAAACCCACGTGTCCCTTCTCCAATCCCACAAGACAAAGCCTGCAATCGGAATACATACAGAGCTGCTCTACCCAAGTGTAATAAGGCGAGGCCATCCTTCCCCAGGGAGGATGAACTCTGGGGCAGTCACCTTCAGCCCCAGCAGGAACGAACAACGGGCAGACAGCAGGAGCGAGCTTGCCAGAGGCTGGAGGAACGCAGGCCACCCAGCACACACCATGGGCTCTAGAGGCCGCCCTAGACCAAGGAGTGCAGCGAGGCATGCCGACAGGGACTGAGGCCTCACGGGCAGCGGGGCTGGAACTGGAAAAGGAAGTAACCTGGATCCGTGAGAAGGTTCTGGCTTTCCATGGAGTAGGAGTTTCATGACCAACCCATCAACACTGTAAGCTCTGTACATTCTACTGTATGCCAGTTTTAACAATACAAACACAAAAATGCCAACAGCCCGTGACTAGTGGACAGCCCAACCCATGACTGGAACCTTTACTACGGAATCCTAGGCTTTCTCACGAACTCCATCCCGCATACCCCGCTCCCCAGTCCCTGACCCACGTCACTGCCTGCATCCCCTTGGCCTGGAATGCACTTCCTGAGTCTGTTTGCTTAACAGACTCCAGTCTGCCCTGTAAGCCTTGGCGCAGACACGATCTCCACTAGGGGCCCACTCGTCTCCAGCAGCGTCCCATCATTGACCTACTCACTGAAAACACCATTAATAAGAGACATAAATGGTGACTATACACACGGACCTTGCCTGATGGTCTACACAGGAATTAGATTGATTAATTTTTAGGACTGGGAATAAATATGGCTCTCTTCCAGTCAGCTGGCCAGGTACCTGTCCTCCAAATGTCTCGGCACAACTTGGTGAGCACATCCCGGGCAACATCTGTTTGCTGAAATAAGTCAAATGGTACTCCATCAATTCCTGCGCCCTTATTTTTTTGCCAATTCCTTGAGAGCAGCTTGAACTTCCTCCTTCATCGCCACTGCCTCCTGCTCATATGTTGTTTGATGAAATTCTTCTGCATCAGCTAATTCTTTTCGGTACAGTGACTCTGTGTATTACTTCCACATTCTTCTTTTAAAAAAATTTTTTTTTTCTCCTTCTAACTTCTTTTAAAGCACCCTGGATAATTCAATGTTCTGCCCATAGCATCTTTAAATATTACAACTTGAGGCTTGAATTTGTTCTTCAGTTCTTTCAGTTTAAGAAATGCCAAGCGAGTTCAACCCTTTTGATTCTCTGCAGCTCTTTGCCCATTTCTTAAAAGTTGGAAACAACGAAGAAGGATCAGAAGTTGGAAAATGTGGTCTTGGTGACAGAAATGAAGCTGAAGCTAGAATGATAGAATTTTGCACCATCAATGATTTGTTCACTGCAAATACGTTTTATAAGAAACACAAATGACAGCTATACATATGGAAAGAACTGGTGAAGCAGCTGAGTATCAACTGTGAAAACTACACCAGGTGCTGACTGTGCAACAGACCATCAACTACTCATAGGCAAGTTCAAACTGAAGCTAAAGAAAATTAAATCAAATTCACAAGCACCAAAATTTGACCTTGAGTGTATCCCACCTGAATTTAAAAACAATCTCAGGAACAGATTTGAGGCTGTGAACACTAATGAACAAAGATCAGATGAGCTGTGGGAAGCTATCAAGAATATCATTCATAAAGAATGCAAAAGTCTGAGACGGATGTCAGAAAAGAATCTCTCAAACAACAATAAGCACAGCCCGAAACTCCCAGGGCGGCAAGTACACGCATACATGTGTATTTTCTAGGAATTTCAAGTTCATCTACTTTCCCATGATTAACACATATACTGAGGGAAAAAATACATTCTCAAGCTGAAAAACTGGGAAGGAATCTGTGTTTAGAATCCCCAGCAACCTCATTCACTAGTATTGTCTTCTATCAAGTGATTTAGCTTTCAGAATTCCCAAAGAAATCTTCATTGTTACCACTAAAACTATGTCGTCCCAATAGCATTCCCATCTGTAGAGTGGACAAATGTATAATATTGCACGGTTTTTTAATATACAAGGAAATGACAAACAGTCAAAAAAGACGAGACTCTCAATCACTAGCACTGGGAAGCCAAAGCCAAGGGGAAGAAGAGACCAAGTAGTGAAGGAGCCGAACAGAAGATTTCAAAGGGCAGCTCGGGAAGACAAGGCAAAAAAGTGTTATGGCGAATGATAAACAGAACATGTAAGAATGCATTATGAAGCGTCTTGAGCAGCTCGTGCTGTCACACTCCATGTGCCTCTAAGTTTCACATTCCCTGAGCTCAATGGTAAAATCGCCTGAGGACCAGAACCAAACGCAAACAAGGCAGCAACAGTCCCACAGTCAAAATGACCCCACAGAGGCAAGGAGAGTGTGCCCAAAAAGTACAGTGAGTATAAGACACGGGAGACACGGGTCATCTGTAAACTCCACGCGCCACGTGAGTGACTTCGGCATCTGTGGTGTCTGAGACCCTCAGTCAGGATGTTCGGAATGCAGTGACCGCGCGGTCACACAGGGTTAGCTCACACGGTGAGGAGGGGTGGAAGGAACCCGAGGGGCAGGCCACACGGTAGTTCAGCAGGTCCCCAATGCCACGCTGGCCACCGTTCAACCAACTGTTAGCCCCCACACAGCAGCTTCTCCGTGTTGGAAGAAATTCAGGATAAAGGGCTCAAGACATCTTAAGGTCGTTTTCATAGTTGCTTTTCAAGTATTTTTTTCTAACAGCAAAACTCTTACACCAGCATTAAGTGAAAGCTTACCTTGTCTAGGGTCATGTTCTAAACTTTGTGCAGATGACCTGGCATGACTCTAAACCACTCTGTATCCGGTGGGTGCTGCCACCTTCCCTGCCCCCAGGGCCTGTCCTCGGTCACGTGGCCCTTGACTCAGCTCTCAGCCTTTGCCCTCTCGTCTCTACTGCTCAGATAGACGGGACTGAAGGTCAGGGCGAGGATTCCACACGGTTCACAGGTGACATGCTGTTCTGTACGCAGTCCAGGCAGGACTAGGACTTAGGGAGCACATGTGAAGTGGATGCCCGTGCCGGCATAATTACCAGGAATCTCTCCTCCTTCTCCAGCCAGCGCTGGTCCTCCTCCATTTCCTGCTGCTGCCGGATCAGCCGCTCTTCCATCAGGTGTGCTGGCAACACCTGCCCGAGGCCACGCATGTCTAGGGTTGCACAGTCCTGTGGAAGAGGACCCGACGTGAGGTGTGCCTTTCAGACAACTAAGCCAACCAGCAAGGGGGCAAAACGGGTCCCTGGATCTACTGGCTGGGAGATGACGCCCCAGGGTGTGGTACTGTGCGCTGGGCGGCTTTAAAGAGCACAGGATGGTTCAGCTCGTAGAGCCAGCAGAGTCCATTCCAAAGACATGATGAAGATCCAGGCAAAGGACCCACTATCGGTGAAGCAAGCAAACAAGCACAGACACACAGAAGGACACAGTGCGGTGCAGACACCCTGTGGAGAACTGAGGCCATCAGCCATCCAGCGTGGACCCTGGCAGGAAAAGCAACAGCAGAGGCTCTGTGACCCAGGGAGCCCACCCTCGATCCTGCGGGCCTGGAGATCCCTGCCTTTAGCAGAAACAGCGAAAACAGGAACAGTCTACGGCTGCAGGATGCTTCCGTCCTCGCCCCCACCAGACACACGCAGATGCTAATGCGTCCATGCAGGGCTCTGCCTTCTACGGAGCCTTGTACCCCTCATAAAAGCAGACACTGAAGGAAAGAGCTCAATAAACGGCCTCCAGACCTTAGAATCAGGTCCTACATATTAGCAAGCCTCAGGGCTTCAGAAATGAAGGGTATCCTGGACCAAACACAAGGGGTTAAATGGTGGACTGCCAGCCAAAACACCTACAGCCTCAACCACGAGTTGCTCCTGGTAAAAGGTGAGTAGGCTCCTCTCAGGAACCAGGTAGAGCGTCTACCACCTGATACCACAGGGCTTGCGGCTGGGGGCTTTGGGGCTGAGTGCCCCAGTCACTTACCTCCATGCTGGGCTGCCACATTGGTATCTCCTGAGGTCTGTGATTCCATGAGTCCGTCTGATCCAGCAGAGAGGCCTGGCCTGGGTAGATGCTGCCTGCCATGGCTGGGATGCTGTGGGAGCCGGGGTAGCTGGAGACCTGCAGCCCAGGAGGAGGCAGGATAACTGCTGTGAGTGCAGCTGTGCATGGCTCTGCTTCACGCAGGAGAGTAACAGAGAATGGAGGCAGGCTGAAAATGGGCCCCACACACCCACAGCCCTGGGACACGCCACCACACATGGCAGAAGGGACTCTGCGGATGGAATCAGGGTCCAGAGATGGAGAGATGAGCTTGGCCTAACTGGGGGTCCCTTGTAATCATAGTGCCCATAAGAAGAGGAGAGAAGAAGGGAGATGTGACCATGGAGAGCGAAGGGACAGGTCATGACGCTTGATTCCATGATGGAGGCGGAGCTGCAGACCGAGACTAACAGGGGCCCCGAGAAAGGGACAGAGTCACCAGAAACCTCATGCCCTGAGAGTCAGGTGGGAGCAGTGGCCCCACACACCTGTAAGATGACAGAAGCATGTGTGCTGTGCTTACACGTGAGATTAGCGGCCACTGTGAGAGCTGCTGTGGAGTCCCATCAGGGAACAGTGGTGGTTCTGGGACCGACCAGACACCCCTCATGAAGGGAAGCAGAAGTCCACAGGGACAAATGCCACAGGCGGCCAGGCAGCCACAGAAGAGGCTCAGCCATACTGCCCTCCATGCTTCCTTCCTGACCTTTCCTTCTTCTGGTCACCCGCCCCCCTCCCAGTGCACACAGTCAAGCCTTTGTCCCCCGAGGACCAGCGGAGGAGGGAGAAGGCAGGCAGTCAGCTCTGTCTTGAAGGCAGTCCCGCCTGGGAGGTCTTAGCAGGAAGACTAAGGCACGGAATCGCCGGGCCCTCTGTACGTCTCTCCTTCAGCTCGAGCACTGGAGGGGCAGGCACCAGCTCCAAGGCTCGGCCAGCTTCGCCGCCTGCAGGACGACATAGCTCCTAACAGCTCATGTGACCAGGCCCTCATCTGCATACCCTTTAACAAGGTGAAATTCTATACCAAGTACATGTGCTACATGTGCTCAACCCGTTCCTGATCCAGTCACAGACAGACAGTTCTCAGAGTGTCAGGATGACAGCATTTCATAATAAAAGGCCCAGCACAGACCACTCTGTCCTGTGTTCAGAAGGGACACAGCACAGCCAGAGGGCTTCCAGGAGTCTTCCTCAGAGGTTCGGGGACTAAAGGCAGATTTCTGAACAACACTATACCTGTCAAAGGATGGAAGGGACTTTAGGGCTGAAGAGGAACAGGAAGCGCCCTCCAGGACTGTCTCTCCCTCCTTGCCCTGAAGCTTAAATGCAGACAGATCCCACTTGCACCACCCCACTTCCTGCCTGCGTCCAGGGCCTCCACACCACGTGCTGCGCATGTTTCAATGGGGCAATGTTTCTATCCACCACCTGCCTCAGGGGCAGGGCATCACCTAAGCTCTGCTTTCCCATAAGCTCCCCTGGGCCCTGTATGCCAGAGATCCAGGTCTCAGTGACTCAGCTTCTTCCAGAGGACTGAGGACTGACCAGTGGTTTGAAGGGGGGATTTGCTGCCTCTGCTCCCATGGCCAACACTGCCCTGGGACACAGAGGACAGAGACAGGACGCCTATCCATTGTAAGAGCCCGGAGATCCAATGTCTCATCTCTCCCCTTCAGGCAGGGGTCCTGGGCCTCTTGCTGAGGTTAGGGTCAGCTGAGGGACCTGGTGGGGAGGTACCAGCCCGAAGGCTCACTCCAGCACTGGGCAGAGCGGGGTGGACCTGTTTCCCCCAGAACGAAGAACTGCAAACACTGGTCTCTGTTCTGGTGGTAACACACGGGGGCACGCAGGTCCTTGGCAGCTGCGAGCCTGCAGCGAAGATCGCCCACTCACAGCAGCACGGACACTGAAGCACAGCTCCTATTCAGAGCGACGGAAAGGGGCTGACCCCTCTGTGGAGGAGGAAGGGAAGGAATACATGCCCCTCCAATAAATCTGGAAAGCGGTGGGAGGAAGCCAGCAAGTGGACCAACTCTGAGCTTTTCCTCCTCAGCAAATGTCTAGGATCTGTTTGGGTTTTTATGTTGTTTTTAGCCACTCTTCACGGAAAGCCTATGAATTAACCATTCTCCGTTAGTGGCTGGCCACTGTCACTACCATAGTGAAGCCGCTACAAGTCTCTACCGTCAGGGACAAGACACCACTGCAACAGCCAGGACCAGCACAAATGGGGTCTACGGTCAGTTCAGACCCACAGTGACAAGAGCACGAAGCCCGGGCAGCCCCGCCCCAGCCCCACTCCCCTCCTGAGCCCCACTCCCTCTCCACCAGAGCCCACTGTATCAGTCCTTCTTGCTCAAAGCGTTCCTTCTCTTTGACCTTGTCTTCTCCAGGCTGATTTTCTCAGGAACTCGTCACTCCTGACAATGTGTCCAACGTATGAGAGACAGCGCCTGCTCACTCCATTCTAAGGAACGTTCTACTCTGGTTCTATCACTGCCAAGTCAGACTTGCTTGTTCAAAAGCACAATGCAAATGACTGGGTCTCACTCTGTTTCCTGGGGATCATGTAAGAGATTCCTCTAGGCATCTTCCCTGTAAGAACAGCAGTATGAGTATGCTAACTGTGGCATGGATGTGACCCTCACAGCGTGTCATCCGACGGAAAGTGAACATAAGCAGACAGGCCCAATCCCCACCCGTGTTAACAGAACTCAGACAGCTGCTTGTGGGGCACAGAGCACGGATGGGGAAGGGGCACGAGGGACCCTGTGACGCACAGCCCATCCTCATCGTGGTGGCATATGGGCTATGCGGCTGTCTATAAGAAGCTCTGTGTTCACCGAGTAAATCACGCTCAAGAGAGTCAACAACTTCTCTCCAACCAAGCCGGCACCCGGAGTGAGTGCTGCCTGGGGACTGACTGCTTCTTTTCTGGGTCACTATTTTAACTGGGACAGGTCACTTGTCTGTGAGGCCAACAGCTCCTTCCTTCATATTTGTCCATGGGACTTGTGTCTGGTTTCTGTTAAGGTAATTTTGAATTTTATTCCTGTCTTTTTAGAAAGACTTCTAGTTGGGTGTGATCGCTAAATAGAATGCACTCACTGGATTCCCTCACACCTCACCTGAGAAAGCAGAAGAAAGAGTGCTGGACACAGGACACTGAGGACCTTCCAGTGCAGGAAGACAAAGAGGACACTGCTGGGGGTGGGATGCCACCTGCCCCCACTGCATCGAGATGGAGCAACAAACTCTCTGCACAGGGACTCTGAGACACCTCACTAGCACAACTGTCAGGGGACTTTCTTAGGGAATTTTTTTTTTAAATAACCAACTCACACTCATTTAAGCCCATAATAATGCTAAGTACACTCACAGCATGCCCTCCCTGGACAGTGCGACAGAACACAGCTGAGCACGTCTTGTGCCCACAGTGACTATACCTGGTAGTGGTTGGTCGGAGCCACATGCTGTGGGCTGGGGTAAAAGCCTTCGCTGGACCGCGGGCTGGGGTAACCAGGTCTGCTGGGCTGGGAACAAAGCAAAAGCATCAGCTGAACAAGTATTTACTTTGATCGTTTTGATAAATCTATGGTTTACTGAATGAAGGGGGGAAAAAAGGCAAAGATCTTTCTCTACTAGAGCTTAGCTGAGAGAGCAGTAAACGATGTTAATTTCAACAAAGATGCCCAGACCACTCCACGAGGAAAGAATCACCTTTACGAGAAAAGGCGGTGGGGCCTGGGATATCCTTCTACATTCCAGCGAATGAAGTCAGCGCTCCCCTGCCCCCAAATCCACTCCAGATCAGCTGAGACCTGAACACGAGGCTGAAAGGACAAGTCCTCGCAGGTAGGAGCGAACCAGTGACCTCAACTGGGTACTGGACCCTCAGCCACGTTCTGGCAAAAGTCACCAGAGGTAACACACAACTTCAACAAAATATCCACTTTTGTGCACACGACATGCAATCAGAAAATGAAAACTCACAGGAGGGGAGAAAATACTGGTTGACACGCTCAGTGATGACTGTACAAAGAATATATAAAGAACACTCCCACCCCACAACTCAGAAACTGGCCAAGGATCTGTGGTGCAGACAGATTGTTCAGAGGCTTTTCCTGCCAGCTCTGACTGTCGCCACACGGCCGGTGCAAACACCCAAACAGGTGTGAAGATTACTGTTACAGGACCGGTTGCCACGCCAGCCCGCCAGGCTCAATGGCAGAAACCAGGAACTGCCGTGCATTTCATGGCAGCCAAGAAGCAGAGATCGCAGTGAACATCGTCTGGAACCAGACTCCCCCAGCAACCAGAGCAAGACCTGGACGAGAGAAGCGGCAGAGAACCCGAGACCAAAGCAGGACAGAGCGTCCAGCTGACCTGGGATGCTGCCTGCCAGGGGCCTCCGCCCAAGTTGACTGGAGGACCAGGGCAGGACAAGGGGGACACCACAACAGGCAGGGCAGAGAGAGGTCGGCAACAGTGACTCAAAGCCACAGGCTGAAGGTCAAGGGCCTTTGAGTACGCTTGAGCAGTTGTGCTCACGGGAGGTAACTTCCTGCTGCCAATGTGACTCGAAACCCACTGACACCCCTGGTAAACCCATAACCATGACTATGGTCTCCGAGTTCTGTGAGGTCACTGAGGAAATGTGGGGCCTAGTGGTACAGCAGTGAGAGCCCTGGGAGGAGGGATCAGACTTGGCAGGTGCAGGGGCATGGGGGCATGTCTGGTCTCAGAGAAACTGGTTTCGTGCTGTGGATGCTGTTGATGGGGGCAGTTTGTCCGATGGAGTTAGTAGAGGTCAGATATGGTCACTCCCAGACCACTTCGACCACTCTTTTTATAGATTTGTATAGGTATTTTTCCAAAGAGGAGTTTACAATGGCCAAAAAAAGCACGTGGCAGGCATTCAATATTGGTCGTCACTGTTAGTATTAGGTGCTGTCAGAATGACACGTGTCCTCTGCTGCGTTGTCACACTGTCATGCTTCAGTCCACTGCTGTCGTCAGCTTCTGGTCTTCTTAGCTCTCACGGATTTTTTTTTTCATCAGTACCATGCCTTTCCCCAAGAACTGGCACCTCCAGACCCCACACACCATACGTGAGCCGTTTCCCTTCCTCCGACACAGACTGCTTGTTCTTGCGGCAGTCCGTTCTCCGACAGCGCGATCCAGACCCTCATTCCTCTTCAGTCTTCTGGACTGACCAACTTTCACATGCATTTGAAGAACTGGAAAACACACTGCTTTGGGCCTGGTGTACCTTCCTATTTAAACTCTTCCAACCACTGTCCCTGCTCTTTAGGGCCTGGAGGAGGGCCTTAACAGCAAGTTCCCCAAAGCAACGCGGCTTTTTATCTCTTGATTGCTGCTACCATGGTGCAGGCGATCCAAGTTCAATGAAGCCATTCCATTAGGGATCTAGCAATCCAAACCACAGAGGTGCCGCTCCACATTCACTAAAGCAGTGCCAATAAAAAGTACCAGCACACGCAGAGACAGAGCAACCCTCATTCATCACTGGTGGGAGGGTAAAGTGGTGCAGCTGTGGTGGGCAATGGCCTGACAGTCCCTCAGAATTTCCAGATGCAGTCATCGTGTAACCCAGCAATGCCCAAGAGCCAAAATCAGGCCAAAGTTGACAGGACAGGTAAAAAGCAAGCACACTTGAGAGAGAGATCTGTATGCTGATGCTCTATCTTACGGTCACCAGGGAATGCTGTTTCCATACAGCCATGACGCACACAAACCTTGAAAACATGCACCAAGCGAGAGGCCACATCTACCAGGCCACTTAGTGCGTGAGGACATTCGCGTGACCGCTTGGAGCTGAAGCCAGGTGGGTGAGGGCTTTGAGTTGACAGAGCTGATGGTGGCACAATCTGTGAACACGCTGAAAACCACTGACAGCGCACTTCAAAGGGGCATGAAGCTGTTTACACAGCAACAACCACAAAACATGAGACGCCTGGTGCCAGACAGCTGGAGGCTTTCTGCCCAGGGAGCGGGGGACCAGGAGCAGGCACGCACTGGGCTCTGCACCACCTGGGACAGTGGCCAGTGGTCTACTTTCTGCTTCTCCACCTGGAGCTAAGCCAAGGAATCATTTCTAGCTTCATCCCCTCACTGCTGAGGCATATCCTCAAAGCTCTTAGTAAAAGAACTGTTTAGTCTGAAACAGATGAAAGTAACTGTAACATCTAAAATGTTAGGGATCTGACAGGTTGGACACCTGTTATTTTCCAGCCCAATTAAAACAAGGAGAAGAGGAAGTGGACACCAGCCCCAGCAAGGAGATGGGGTGTGTGTGTGGGGTTGCCCCAGCCCTTTTCCCCACATAGAGCCTCTCAGGTGCCGGGAGCTGCTGATTCAATCGAGTGGGTCTTGTTCCTCCGCATCAGGACAGCTGGTGTAAACAGACATGTTGTCCTTCCTGTGGAAGCGAGGTGGGCAGGAGCAGGGCCAACAGTTGGACGGTGTGGCCCCCACTCTGACTCCCAAGAAGCCACCAGCTGTCCTCTGACCTCTGCTCTGCATGGAGTCTGGTGGAAAGGCAAAGGACACGCGGTTATGGGCAAGGCTTCATCTCGCAGACCCACTGACGTGTCCTGGGGGCACTGGCTGCCCCTTCAGACTCATCCACACAGGCAGAGGGATCTGTGAGAGGGACGCTGGCTCACTTCATGCACGTCCGCACAGGCAGAGGGTGACAAAAGATGAGGATGGAGAAAGCAGAAAATGGATGTGGGACCGTGCCCACAGGAACACAGCTGGGCTCTGACATCCAGGCCCTGGACCACACCCGCTCCCCGCCGGTGAACGATCCAGCCACACAATCTCCAGGGTCAAGCAGCAGGTATCTGAGGGTCTGCTGGCCTTAGACCTCAGTGGCTTTAGAGTGTCTCTGTGAGATGAAACCACAGGCACGTGGCTACATTCTAGGGAGCCCTCAGCTAAGAAGATGGGCAGTGGGCTGAGCGCCGACTATTTAAACACAGACCTGGTGGGACACTCTCCCACACACACCCACAGCACCACAGACAGAAACAAACGAAGGAGGCTTAAACGGGGTCGGGCTTAATGCTCAAACACCAAAGAAGCGGCCAATCCCTCCCCGTGAACTAACACTGCAGTTTAAGAATGTTGTTGTTGATTGTCGACGAGTCGAGCGCAACTCATAGCGACTCCATGAACAACAGACCTAATGCTCTTCAATAACTATCGTCATTTCTCCAAGTTCATAGAGTTCCCAGAGGCATGTGGTTTAGGAAGGAGATGCCACTCCTGCTTCCAAACCTGTCCTACAACTGGGAGCTCCACCAGACTCTGTCCACGTTGGTAATCCATTACGGTTATTTGATACCCCAAGGTTTGGCATCACAGTAAACCCAGACTACCTCAGTACAGCAAACTGACAAGGAGTGATGTACAAAGTACAAGAATGTTCTTCTAAAGTATAACAACTTTAGTCTCACTTAGTTTAAGTGTCATCAAGTCAAATACGACTCATAGTGACCCTATGAACAAAAGACCTGAACTCTGCTCTACAGTAAATGCCATTTCTTTATAGAGTTTATAGATTAGTCAAATGAAAATTATTACCAAAATGAATGAAAACATCTCTGTAAATGTTCATTAAAACGAATAAAATTTAATAATAAAAAAAAAAAGAAAAAAGAAATTCTTACCAAGCCAACAGATATATAAAAATTCTTGAACTTTGGGAAGGGACTGCCTAACAATGAAAGAGTTAGGAGTGAATTGGGGGAGGGGGTGGGCAGGGAGAAAAGTGCAACAATGAATGACTGGAAACCTTAAGTCTCTGTAAACTTTCATTAAAATAAAATAAAAAAAAAAATCTAGATGTGTGTCTCACCTCACCACCCTGGACCGGGCTGGCGTCAGCATGCCTGAGCCACATGCCCATCAGTCCCTGTACTGTGTGCATGGGAGACAGAGTCTCTGATGTCATAGCCACGTAACACCTCTGACATCATCACATCTGCACCATATCGTCACCCATGCCCGTACTGGACCACGTGTCCATGTGTGACCACAATTTCTGGTATTACCAGGTCCATCCCTGCGCTGGACCACGTGTCCATGTGTGAACACATCCTCTGGTTACCAAGTCCATCCCTTCACTGGACCACGTGTCTGTGTGTAAACACATCCCGATATTACCAGGCCCATCCCTGTGTTGGACCACATGTGAACACCCTCTGCTGTCACGACGTCTGCTCTGTGTTCCCACTTGTACAACAGACGAATTCACTCACTCTCCCTTAGTCCCCCCAGCACCCTCCGAGGCCGACTTGTGCCCTCATACTATGCAGGTGTTATTATCTAGCTGTGTCTGTAGTGACAGGCATCTTCCCAGACATCTTTCTGTAAGAACGGACAGAGCAGGGCTTGCGTGACAGCCGTGCAGAGACGGGTGCCCTTGTGTCCCATGGTCCTATTTTCTAGTGGTCAGGAGGTGGGAGAGAGGCCCTTCTCGTCAAATTCTGCAGAAGAGGGCAGTCATAGTCACCAAGCTCACTCTAAATAAGAATGCTTAAAATAGTAGATTTTTCAAGGCAGGCATCCTGATTAAGAAACAAGTATTTGATATTTTGCATTAACAGATTCCTGAACATTCTGAGAACAGAAATCAGGCGAACAATTGTCATTTTCTTCCCAATAAAGTTCTAATAGAAGGGGGGGGGGGGAAGCGGCCCATGATCAATAAACTGCAGAGAAAGGACAGCATCAGTGTGTGAGACACCACATTGACAGCCGGGTGGTGGACTCTAGGTTGGGGAGAGTATTAAAGGGGAAACAAGGATTCAACCCTGAATAGCGCTCCACCAGGGCTGAGGTGAGGGGCGTGCAGGGAGGGCGGAAGCAGGGCTGGAGGGGGGACAACAGAGCAGGGGTGGGGGTGGGGGTGGGGGTGGAAGCAGTGCACAAGGAGGCCCTGGGGGGGGTCGGCGCTCTCTGGGAGACTGAGCGTGCACGGGGAAGCCTCAGAAGACAACAGGGCATTTTCAGACGCAGCCCAGCTCACGGGGGCGGTGGGGAGGAGGGAAGCCAGCCCGGGGTGTGCCGGCGTGCTGCTGTCAGCATCCCGGCGAGCAGACTAGCACCCCACAATGAGCCCAGGTCGGGAGGGGCCTTCCTACCTTGGGAGGGGCTTCATCGGACCCTCCGGAGTCCCAGGACACGGTGACTTGTCTTCTGGACTCCATTCTCACGCGTTCTTCCTGCTGAGCCTTCTCTTCCTCCAGGATGGCGCTGGGGAGACAACACATGGATTTAGGGGTGCTGACAGCAGTGTAGGGCCCCCAAGTCCCTCCACTGGCTGGCTGGTGATGACAGTAAGACACCACCCCTCATGGACAGGCTCTGGCTTCACAGGCCTTACGAAGGACTCCAGAACAGCAGTGGTCCATTTAAAGCACGGCCACCAGGGGAATGAGTGCAGCTGTCAGAAGGGGACCCAGAAGGGGACCCAGGGGCAAGGACTCTGAGGCAGGCCTGCACTGAGCACGTACGTGCGTCGAGACGCAGACTGCCCCATGGAACAGGCCGACACGACATGCCCACAGCTGCAGACAGGTCAGACAGGTAAGCAACACAGCCAGCAAGCTCCCGCGACTCCCCAGAGCCACTAGCGTCCGGAGCTTCTGTCTGCAGCACAGATCTGACCGGGGCAGGGACGCAGGCAGGCCTTGGAGAGCGGACAGCACAGCCAGTGATATGTACTCACCCGCAGGACTACTGGACAGCTAGCTGCGGTCCCACATCCTGCCACGGCCCCTGTGACTGGTCCAGCCGCTCAGGCCTGGCCGTCTGCCATCATTCAAATGGCTGCCGAGGCGGCCAGAGCCACTCTCCTAGCGGCCCCCTCCCAAGGCCCCCTGGGTGCCATGGCTGAGGGTCCTAGGGACCTGCTCCCCACCATGCCCAGCAGCTGCCTCCTCTGGGCTCCTAGTGACGCTCAGACGGAACGCAGTAAATAAGCACCCGATTACTCATGGGCTGTGAGCTCAGCCTGGACCCTTCTAGTCTGGGAACATGCTGCCTTCTCAGAGGCGCCCCTCCCTGACTCCAGGCTCCAGCGGGCTTCCCCGGCTGAGCGAGCGGCCACTCCAGTTCAAAGTCACAGACTATTTCACAACCACCATGACTACAGCATGTAGGGAGCGGCTGCCCGCTCTTCCTCATTCCTATCCTTTAACGGAAGGGGGGTGCTGGACCGGGAGGAAAGCTTTTAGCCTCAAGCACCGCTCCTCCCAAATGATTTCTGCTCCAGACAGACTATCCCGGTTGGGCAAGCAGAGAGCACGCCCTTCAGCAGTGCCAGTCTGCGTGTGGCACGTGGCCGGATGGCTCAGCAGGAACCTGGTGCTGTGTCCTGAGCACAGGTGAGGCTGGCCCAGGAACACTCTGCAGGGCACATGGCTGCCAGCTTTCTTCCTGCTCTCATGTCAGGCTGGGAGGATAAGTGGCCATCACATGCTGGCTTCTCTCACTACCTCCAGTTCCTGCCTCAGGGCGCCCCTCCCGAGGGAGGACGAGCCCGGTGCCATCCGTGAGAGCAGGGGGAGTTCTCGGAGCCAGGAAGGGAAGTCTGCATTCCCGAGGGCAAACGACACAGCCTCAGACACGGCAACAGCAGCATTCCAGGGCCGCGTTTACACAGGAGTGAACGCGCGAGCTGTCCAGACGGCCTGCCGTCCTTCCCATGAACCAGTGCTGGCGGAGCAGGTCCACTAAAGAGCGCTGTGTGTGCGCGGACACAGTACAGCCTGCGCCATCAGCCCTGGGACCTGGCCGAGGAGAGGACACCAGACTTCCTCAGTCGTGAGCACTCCCGAGGAGACACCAGGGCTTGGTATTCAACTAAGTTCACGATCAAGTTCTGTCTGGCGGCTGGTGAGCACGCACAGCACTGTTCTCCGGGCCCCACGCCACAATGCGGAGAGCACGGCTCCCTGGGCCCACTGCCTGTGCCCAAGGACAACTGTGGAGACCTAAGTCAAGTCCCACAATCTGCGACGAATTCCAAGCAAGGGATGTCTTTGAAAAGGGGAAGATCTGCTTTAAGTCCATGAGTCAAATGCCCTGTTCTTACCTGGGGCTGCCAGTAATTCAAACCAGTCTAAAACCAGTGACAGTTTGACTTCAGGTACAAAAGAGCATGTGTCTACATAAATCTGCCCAAGTGTGTAGTGACATGTAGGTAAGATGGCAATTAAGATTAGCCACTAACTCCAGAAACCAAGATGACAGGAGCATGGCCGCGTGGCCACCGATGCTCAGAGCCTGGGAACCAACACGAAGGGAAAGCTGAACAGGCCATGGACCAGTGACAACGCGAGGTGAGCAGACAGAGTGGCCCGTTCATGGCAGTGCAGACACCTGGGGAGCAGGATGTAGGCCCCCGCAGGGACAGAAGGAGCTGGCACACCCTGGCGTGCTCCGGTGAGACACGTGTCACCATGTGCGCGCTGCAGTGAGGTGAACGATTTCCTCGTGTACGTTCCCCCACCCCCAGCCGACCCTATCTCACCACACTCAGGAGCCTAGGGGCCTCCTTGCTGGCCTGGGACACCTGGGCTGTTCGGTCCACAGCTATGACATCCTCCGAGGATCAGAGAGCAGCTCTGCCCTGCATCCTCCCTGCATACCACCTCTGCTGCTCTGCCCTGCTCACACAGCCTGCTGCCTGTTACCTTGTCTCGTGGAGACCTTGCTATGGTGTTTGTGTGGCTGTGGTCTTTGAGGGGCCCACACTCGGCGAGCTCCCACGGCAGCCGGGGCCATCAGCTGATCTCAGTGCAAAGCAGGGCCTGAGACAGGGTCAGCAGCTTTGCAGCACTCTCTGTACCAGGTGGCATGTTGGGTGCCAGCTTCCTGGCCCTCAGGCGGTGAGCTTGCTGTGGTCGGAGGACACGGATCTGATTTCTCCCGCATGCTGCGGACACACCAGTGTCTCTGTAACTGAACACGCCGGTCCCTCTGCTCAGCAAATGCATGGACAGTGGGGAGCATGTTCCCTTGACCTCAGCGTTTCCTTCTCATCCCAAAATACCTCACCATGAAGCTTCTGGGAAATGGTGGCTGGTGCCGACAGTCACCAAGCATATAAATAACTCCCCGAAATCTCTGCTCTCCCAGTGGGAAGGCCCCACCACAGATGGAGGGGGAGCGCCCGAGGCTCCTGGACAGCCGTCCCTACAGCTGCGCGGAATCCGAGAAACAGACCAGTGGCAGGGAGGTCAAATCGTCGCATACTTTCCCAAACTCCAAGTATTCTTGGCAGCACGCCATTCCTCTGCAGGCTCAGAGCCCAAGGCAAGCAGCAATGGGCCTCTCGGTTCCTCCCCTCATGGTGGCTTTTAGGTCCTAGACTTAAAAGAGGTGCAAGGATACGAGGGGGCTTTACCAAACGCTCCAACCCCTGATGACCAAGGCCTCTGTTTACACATGGTCCAGTCTGGGAAGAAGTGAGCCTCCAGCTCGCTCTCCGCTCACTCAAGGGATCAACTCAAGGCACCAACAACAGTAAAACGCTGCTCTGCGCTCACCATCCACTGTTTCTGGGAGGCCCCGAGAGCCCAGATGGGGTCTTTATACTTTTCAGTTCTGGAGAGAAGTGACTTCGCTTCCAAGGTATTTTGATGGAGAACAAGAAAGTGATTTCTTTGTATCCTGCTCTGAGCTAATCCTCAAACAAAAACACATCTCCAACACAGACTGGTTTTAGGAGTGGAGAAGGCCAGCCCTTCCGTGGTAGCTGCAGTTTTAGCTGTCCTAGAAGAATGGGTGACGGAGACAAGCTGGGCCTGCTTAGTTCCATAACCACGGGCCACGATGCCTATCAGTCCTGAGAACAGGCGGGCGCCCCAGTGTGTGACCGTGCCTGTGAAACCTGAAGGCAGACGGAGGCTGTTCTCACACACTGGACAGGAACGCGTTTCTATTTTACTTCTGCAGGCCTTGCCCTCTTCCCTGAGCATCCTACAGCACCTCAGCTCTGTGCAAGGGCAAAGCACCACCTTTCACAGGAAGCCTCCCCTAAAGACGGGCCTCGGAGCACCAGCTCGAAGGGCCATGGTGGATCACGGTGGCCGCCGGCCGCCTCCCGAGCGCAGCACAGACGCGAGGGAACGCAGCCAACTGGGAAAAGACTTGTCTTGGCAAGTTCGTGGGAATACCAATTTTGAAACGGTATCTCTGGTAATTATCCAAGGCTGCCTCACCACCAAGGAATGGACTGACCTTTCCAATAGAAAGAAAAGCCCTGGGATCGACGCAGAGAGCAAGCCTGGGGTGAGCCTGTGGCCCCGCTGCCTGCCCCTCCCATGGACAGGGCGAGGCCAGGCTCCTCCTCACTGAAATGGCAAGAAACACACAACCGTTTGGGTTTCTATCCCAGACAATGGAAGGGCTCCCGTTAAAGCCCTCTGTGAAGCCGCCCTCTTCCTGCTATGGGTGTGGGGGTCCTACCTGGGAGCCTCCTGAAGGTTATGGCTCAGAACGGGGTGCTGCGTGACCACCAGCACTCGGCATCTGGGTGTGTGGACACGGTGTGCCGAAAGGCACATCTCAGGCTGGGGACCTGAGGGTAACCATACTGGTGGTCAGAGGGGGTACACTCGGAGTGAGAGCCCCAGGTTCTGGGAACACTTGAACATCTGGCTGACATCTCTGACCCTCCCGTGCATGGTGAAGGCCAGGGGAGAGAACTGGGATGGGAGACAGGTTGAACATGATCGGTCCAGCCATCCACGGCCACACAAACAGAAGTGAACACAACCAGGCAGTCTGGGGAAGCCTGAGAAGGAAGGACCAGAAAGAAGAAACCGCCAGACACATGGTGATTGGTCTGCGAGGCAGCAAGGAGAGTTGTGCTGGCAGCGAGACGGCCCGCATGTCCCGTCCACAGGAGCAGTGGCTTCTCTAGAAGCAGACGCCCAGAGTCCAGCACTGGGGGAACCCTCAATGCACAACAAGGGCCAAGAAATCAAGCTTCCCAAAGACCCTGTCCTGGTCCCAGGCAAACAAAGGCATTTTCAGATAAAAGGAGCAGGACCCGCACTACCAGGAGGCTGCCCGGAGTCCTCAGTGTGATGGAAGCCAGAGGGACGGTGATCTTCACAGACAAGCAGAGCGCAGGTCACTATGGGCTGCCGTGAAGAGCGGTCCCCTGGACTCACTGTGGCTGTGGAGTCGGTCCCAAGTCACAACGAGCCCTCCTGGGAAGGAAGACCACCCATCCTTCTCCC